TATTACTCTATTAATTAACTGTAAATTATTTGAGAACCATACGTGGTTATACCACAAGGTTTGAATAAAGAATTAATCTAATCTAATATAATCTAATTATACTATTAGAAAAAAAATAAATTACAAATAATCGGGAAAAATTATCATCGTATTTCCAACAATTTGCAAATTTTTTTTTAACATTATCTTTTTAGTGACACAAAAAAATCTCTTAAAATTTTTAACTCAGAAGCGTTTGCGTATACTACAGACCTTACAATCCGTTGAAAACGCAAAACTGTAGAGCAAAACAAAATTAGATGATTAAACTTCTGCAATGTAAGTTCACCGAACGGAATCAAATGGTAGTTTGTTACGAATCTGGTTTATAATTAATAATTGCAGGTATGGGATTCATGCGTGATGCAAGAGTTTTTAGAAAATATGAGATACAAGTTGTAACCGCAACTTAAAACTCGAAATCCCTCGCACGTATCTACAGTTTCAAGCAAAGTTCAAATTGAAAGCTTGAAATATAACTTTGCCTAATTTATATAGAAATGAGATGTTTTTAGTGTTTGGATAAGTACAAACATAATTTGATGCACCAAAATTTCAAGTTTGCTAATTAAAAGACTTGTTTATCACAAATTTATTTTGAAAATAACCATAATAAAAGTACTAAAAATAAAACATAACTATTATTGTAATTTTTAGGATTGGCACTATGTTGGTTAAAAATTAAAATGATTACTGCACGAAAAACTTTTGCAAAATAAAAAAGTCTCAAGTAGCAATGCGAAAATTGTTCAGCAGACCGTAAGAGCTAAAGATCTCAGGCGTGATTAAAGCAAAGTTAAATTTTTTCCGTAAATTTTAGAAATTTTTTTTTTTGCTCATAAACATAATTCAAAAATGTTAACATCGTCAGTGCTATCGAATAATCCGGAAGCTCTAACACCCGGTGAATTTGAACGATAAATTTTTCTTGATTTTTAAATAGCTAAAAAAAATTGGTCATGCATCAGTATCGTTGACCTAGTGTGTGTATATGTATCATTGTTTCTGATTCTCACTTACGTGGTCGCAAACAAACTTCAAAATTTAATAAGCACAGGCTAAAAATTACGTAAAAATTTACCTTTAGTAATTGAAACTTTGCCTCTGCGTCCTTGTTGCCCTCATTTTTGTCAGGATGATACTGTAGAGCCAAAGCTTTGTACTCGGCTGTGATTTGTTCAACCTGAAATGCAAAATGGCAATTATTATTTTCAAAATCAGCACATCATTAAAAAAAAAAAAAAAAACATCACAATAACATCCATATAAGTTACTGTTATTCAAATAACCGAACAATCTTTTTTCAAACAACACATGCCAGAGTACGTGACTCGCAGCTTTGTCAAATAAACTCGCCGAAGATAAGAGACGATTTTATCGTTTAAAATGAGATTTAAAGGAGGTACAAACGAGAGAGATGGACGCAAGCCCGTTGGCAGTCAAAGTAGGATTAAATTAATCCCAGCTGCCGGATTAAAGACCCGCTTACCGCAGTTTAGGCGTCAACATTTTTATTTGGGGCAGTGGTGGGAGGTACGGCGCGAGCGAAAGGGAAAAAAAAGAAATAACAAAGATGCCAAATTGGAAACACAACACTCGTTATAGCGCTTGATATAACGGAACGAGTTGAAACGCGAAGAAGAGAGGAAGAAAATCCAGAGTCGCTCGCATTAACGAAAGCCGGAACGAGGAGTCGTCGGGTCGCGTTAATTATCCGATCCGATAATAGAAGCAGCCGAGATCAGCTCTAACGATAATCGGATGGCGACTTTTTTTTTTCTCCTTCGTCTGCTTCCTCGCTTTATTGTTCCAGCTTCGGTGTTTCCTCGGGTTTAATTAGCAGATTGATGGTCTCGCAAAATCGATTCGTTTCCAAGTAGCCAAGGAAGCACGCTGTTTTATTAATTAATATCTGGAACAGCTCGTATTTGTTTTTCTTCTTCTTCTTTTTTTCAGCCAACTCGTTGATCGACCCCTTTTTTATTCGGTTTTATTCGAAATCGTTACACATCAATTGATGCCTTACACTTGAAAACATGAACTTATGTAAGATAGTCAAGTACATGGTGGGTTTTATTTACGAAAGGAGTGAAATTGAAAAAAAAAAAAAAAAAAAAAAAAAAAAAAAAAAAAAAAAAAAAAAAAAAAAAAAAAAAAAAAAGATTGTGAGAAAAAGAAAAAAGTGAGCGAAACAAATTATTGTAACGTACGATAGTCCGTGGCATTTTTCGGATATTGGTAAAAGTTGAAGCAACCACTTTCCCCCAAAGAGTTTTTTCTCGCTCGACAACGTGAGTGGGAGGGATTCAGGAGTTTCCTTGGCGTCTAAGCCCACGAGGTGTGTGACTTGGGTGTCGAATAATGTACGCAACCCCATAAGAGGCAATATAGCGGGCCATTTGGGGACCAAGGGATCTTTCCGCCTCGAAGGACAATAATTCTGCGGGCGAATGCGGAAGCGATTTATTTATAGATCGTTGGGAGATAATTAATACGAAGCTGATGGGGGGAAAAGTCCTACAAATGCTTTGCAAAGGAGGCGGAAGCGCAAAACCTTGGAAATTATCGTTGTAGGGTTGTAATGAACGTGGTGACCTTACTTAATAAGAAAAACATGATTGTAGCTCATATATTAATTTTTTTTCGTTTCGTTTGGTTACACAAAAAACTTTTTATTTTTTTATTTTTTATAAAAATACTCTTGAGTTCATGAGTGCTAAGTTTATAAAGTTTAACAAGCGTCGATGAGTGAATTCACAAGTCTTTATTTGCACAAAAAGTTATGAGGTTATAAAAATCTTTAAGAGCCGTGAGTGTATTAAAAACTTTGCCCATTCGATAAAACTTTTTTTCATCAAGTCCCAGCAAGGTCCCTTACTTCGTTAAGCTGAATTTCACAAGTATAACTTTGAACCTCGACGAATAGATTTTCAATTGAGAAAAGTCTCGATTTTTCTCGCGAAAAAAACTCATTTCCCATTACGAGTTGGAGTAGACGAAGTTGAAGCAAATTTTTATTCGCGAGTCTGTCTTTGTGTAATGGAATTGATGACAGAATGACAAGAGCTCATCGTAGAATATTGTAACTTGGTTGTTCCAAAAACATGCCGAAGCTTTAAAATGTGTCATTTTTCCATATGAGCTGATACGAGCCCTGATATCTTTGGTAAAAGAACTTTAACATTGCGCACAACTGCTGAGAGCAACGATTTTGTAGGGATAAATTTTAGTTCCTTGTCACAGATAAAAGTAGCCGATGCTCCCCCGCCTCTCTCCCAGTCATTTTTTTTCAAAAGGTAAAATATCGTTCGGAAAATACTTCTTTTATTTATCCCTATAAGTGTAAGACTTCTAGTCTGTTATTACAACAGTACCTCGACCAGACCCTGGAACCACGTGAAAAAAAAAAAAAAAAAAAAAAAAAAAAAAACAAACCGATTTATCATCCAAAGGGTACGGAAAAACCTTCATCACGAAACAACCACCTCGATGTTCAAAAAAACCCCCGAAACACTTTAATAACTCCTTAATCGCCTAGCAAAATAAAAAAAAATAAAAAAAAAATAGATCAAAAGTACACTCCGCACGTATACAACCCAAAAACAGAGAGACAAACTAAGGTGGATCCTTACCGATGAGGACTCGTCGCAGCCAAGGAGCGCGTAGTAATCCTCGTCCGCGCTCGGCTTGTAATTCAGCACGTCCTCGATACTCATCTCTGGACCGCAGTATCCTCAGGTACCTTCTTTGGTTTGTCTGTTTGTTTGTTTTTTTTTCCTCTCTAAACTCGTCCTCTACCACCACGCAAACGATTTCCTCGCGATAACCTGTTGTCCCAGCCCACGGTGCACACAGAAGAACCCTTTCGCTGTTTACTTCGTTTCTTTTTTATTCCTCTGACAGGCTGTGTATCGCAGCACCTCGTGATGCTCTCTCTCTCTCTCTCTCTCTCTCCCTCTTCAGTGGGCAAGTATATCTGTACGAACGACGGCAATAGTTCCAGCTTAACGCGGCAACGCCTGCGAGCTGAGGAATAGTCGACCAACCGACCGAGTGACTGACTGAGCAAAAGCCCAAAGACAGCGCGCGCGCGGAAAGCCACCCGACCCCCAGAAAGCTTCCTGATATTCCCCGGGAAATATCGGCGCGAAGCCGTGCGCACTGGGTGTTCGGCTACTGCTCTACGAGATACGAGAACAACACTGTCGTACACGCGTATATTTATACATATATATACACACATGCACTGTTGCACGTAAAGTTAGAGAGAGATGGCGGTCCTGCGCAGTGCTCCGATGCTTTATCCGACAGGCCTATATGTATGGGCGCGAGAGCGAGGATACAGATCGATCTCCCTTCGGAGAGATGCTGCGAGCCCCCACCTCGTCCTTCACTCGGATGAGACGACGGTATGCAGCATCCGCGCCCCTTTTTCGTAAATTCACTTATCGCGGGCTCCAGCGGCTCCTTCAATTAAACGTCCCCCAAACATTCGGAGCTGTATATATTGCGACGTTCAACCGATCGGCCTCCACTGCCGCTACTACACTGTCGTTGTGCTGTACATAATATATATGTACTTGCTATGATGACGAGATACTTGTGGTTTGTTTGTTTTTCTTTTTCCACCTCCCACCACTCTTGGTCTCCGCGGTGCGTCGTCAGGTTGATGCCGCGTATAGGCGAAATCCTTGACCCTCGTTTGGGCTGTTGCGTGGAAGAGTGGAGAATGACCCGCTGGTCTAAACGGTGGCTGATCAACGAGGACACGTGCCTGTATATTGCACCCGGGAAATAATATTACATTGTGTGTGTTAGTAGGGTCGAATTTTAGATTTTTTTGGTTTTCAAATTATATTTAGCATTTTTGATGGAATACACGTTGAAACAAGCGTTTGTACGTTCTATCGGGAGGAAATGAAACAATTTTTTCTTGTAAACGCGTTTATTTATAGCTAAAAACATATTTTAATTCATGATTTCGAGCGTAAGCCAAGCATTGATTTAAACAATCTTTTTGCCAATTGGCAAATTGGAAGAGATCTAAAATACAAAAATTGAAAAAAAAAATACCCGATATTTGTTCTTCTCCACATGCAAGGGAAATCAATAAGTGGCATTTGCACTAATGAATAAAAAAAGGTTTATTATCAGAGAAATGATTAAAAATGACGATCTCGATCGAGTAAAAACAGTCGACGGCACGAATCACTTGAACAAACTTTTTTCGAAACAACACTTGATTATAATCAACACTTATGATATCTTAAACTAAATAAACGAGGCTCCACTGATTCGCATTGAATACTCACCGATTGCACAGGTAAAATCAGTGATTTGTCAAGTTAATCGGTGAATATTCATTAAAAAATAAATTGTATCCGATTTTTCGCAAAAAATAGTAATTAATCGACGGATGTATTTTTCATCGACTCACTTGACAAGATATCCGAAGAAACGCTGGCGATGACGACGGGAGCCCACTACTTGGCGCACGCACGAATCAAACTGGCGCAAAGAGAGAAACCCAAGGCAAGTGCGATCTGCCGCGTGTACCCGAGACTTTCACTCGCCGACGAGTCGAGTGACTGAGAAAAATAATCACCGACGACCTTGGGAACGCCAACTGGAAGGGAGACGGCCGATGGATACCGCGTCACGTGGGCTTATCGCGCTGCTGCCTTATCGACCGAAAAGTTGCATCAATCGTTCGCTGCACTGCTACAGAGCAATACATGGATCTATAAATATCGCTCGGGTGGGTAAGATTAAAATGGGCTTTTGCGATGTACGGAATCTTTTTATCGACGTGGCGCACAGATTGTACATAAGCATACACGTAGGAAGAATAGATAGATGTATAAATATATAGTTTAAAAAAAAAGGACACCGACTCTAAAGTGGAGGATGTGTGACGTCTCCTATGGTGTATTAGAACCTTTATTGATTTCAGAAAAAAATCAAGTAACGTTTGGTATTTTTACGATTTTACTTCTTTAGTTGATTAAGAAAAATTGTATTGATTTTTTTTTTCAGAAAATATACACTGTTAAAACAATTACACTTAAGTTAATACAAAAAAAAAAAATAATGTGAAAAATCTTATTTGGTTTAAGTTGAGAAAAAACTGACTCTACACATCAGGACAGCAAGAATAATCGAAAAATTATTAATCAATAACTGTTATTGTTAAAATTAAAAGATGCATGTTTATTATATCCAATGTTGTGTATTTTTAACAGACGTCCCATTATTGATACCATCACTGCCCCACTAAAGGGACTGCCTGTTATTGTTTTTTCCAGAAATTATTTTTTTAATTATTACAAGTGTTGTGGTGAACTGTTTTTTGCTTTTTGTTCTAAAAAATCCGAACTTTTCGTCATAAAAAATTGTTTGAAAAATTGATAGTCAGAATCTGCTTTCATCTACGGTTCAATTGAATTTTTAAGTAAACCTACCCTTCTGACATGTACTTAGAGCCAATCACGTTTCAAAAGTCGGTTAAACAAAACAAAAGTTCATTTCAAATAAAACCGAACCCCTCATTCGATTCACCGATAGCAAAATAGACGGATGGACGGAAAATCCAATTAAAATCCAAATCAGCGTAATTAAAGCGAAAACCCTTACATCAATTTTTCATTCGAACGTCAATTACCCGATTCGACCGCTTTGGATAAAATTTCCGACATCGCGAAATGTCGAGTTTGTGAGTGTGTATGTATGCTCATCCATTGATCTAAAAGGGGATGCATGGGTTTTTGTAGTACATCCATGTAATGAATACCTTTTATATATATGTACACACGTGGGTGTTGATGCTAGTTGGAATCTGCGTCATGTACAAAATCACACGTGCGTATAATTGTTGCACATGGCAAATAATAGTTTCGCTTCTTACGCAACGCGTTAATTAACCGCACTGAACTCTGGTTGGATTTTTTTTTTCTCTCTCTCTCTCTCTCTCTTGAGCAGTAGTTCTCAGGTTAAGAAAGCTGTCCTCCATTTCGCCAGTTGTCCAGCTGATAGTTTTGAGATACCCTCCGAGGTGTCCTTGCCGCAATGGGCGTCGCCGGCTTTTCTGATTCTTTAGTCTTGGGTGGAGTGGCTTTCAATTTATCAGTATCCGTGATGGTGTCTTCCAACACTAAATGAAAATCATCCTCATCATCTGCAGATGCATTATTGGTATTATCATTGTTTTCTTTCTGTTTGATTTCTGAAGCACTTATCTTTTCTTCTTCATTTTTCTTGGGAGATTTCATTTCTGTATCGTTTTTGTTCTCTTTTAGAGGTGTTATTTTTTTTCCAGTATTGTTCTCCTTAGGAGATTGCATTTCTTTTTCGCTGCTTAAAATTTCCTTGGATTTTTCCTGAGAAATATCAATATCAATGGCATTTGTACTTTGATCTAAAGTTGTATCCAACAATGATTTTGTTTCTTTTGTATCTTGTCTAACTTCATTTTTCTTTGGCTCTACGATTTCTGGAGCTTTTTCGTAAGTTTCTCCCAGTTCTCCTTCATCAAAATGAATTATTGAACAGTAACCGTCGGAAGATGAAGCAATTAGTATTCTTCCATCAGAAGACCTTAAAAAACGTAATGTTACTTGTAATAATACAGTAATATCATTATTAAAATTTTTTTATTCTTATTTATTCACCAAGCAATGTCTGTCACCCGAGTGTAATGAATATTGGAAATGACTGCAATGGGTGAAATTTGCTGAGTATCGTATATCATAACAGATTTATCTGTTGCAACGGCAAATACCATCCTGTATGGTAAATCCATCATAGAGGAAGGACCTTCTTTTCGTAATTTGAAATACATAGGACAGCATCTGACAGCATTTGTCACTTCTTCATGAGAAGGAAGAACAGCTATGGGTCTTTAATGTAAACTATGTATCAGTAAGCCTAAAAAAGTTAAACAGTAAAAAATCAAGTTGTAAAAGTTTACTTACTCTCGTAGAGTATGTCTGGAAAATATATGTATACAGTTGACAATTTTTTCTGCCGATTCTTGATGTTCTATAATGCCTGAAGGTACTAAAAGAAGCATACCATCTGGCGAATACGTCAATCTCCTAAAGTAAGATTTGAAAGTATCATCATAAAACAAACGAACAATTTTTCCATCAAGTGCATGTCCAGATGGAGTAGGAATCTTTGATTTGCTCACGCGCTGTACAGTTTTTTTTAAACTAGTGTCAATCAGTCTGCAGATTCTACAACAATGTACACATTGATTGTTAAAAAAAAAAAAAAAAAAAAAACCTTTGTTTTATATCAATTACTAACGCACCTTTTTTGTTTACACTCTTCGACATGGTACACTCGATGTAATCGCTTCACACTTTTTTCGACTCCACCTCGTGCCACTCAACGGTATAAAAAAAAAAAGGCACAAAGTAGGTACAGTGGAAATGGATACCTTTAATGATTCGTGGCTCAATTGTTTTTAATCCCGTGCTTCGCTTTATCTTTCTTTTCCCGCGCCCAAGGAAAGGTAATTACCACCGGGACGCACTTTATTGCCCTGCACTTGGCGAGCGCGCCAGTGGAGGGTCGTCTTTTTTGTTTGCGCACAGAGACGATATACTTAATAATAATTGCCCGAGTATACTAAATTCTCTCGAGCGGTATGAGCCGGGGGAACGATTAGCGAGTTGGGCGGGGGGTCGTATACCAGCCGATGCAAATTGAGCTCGATAAGGAAACGAGGAGGCGCAAATTAAAACGACTTTTCACGATGAGACCATCATTTTACCTTTAGTGGCCATTCTGGACTCGGACCTGGGGCGCATTAGACCGGAGGTGAAATTTCACGCAGCTGAATCATGCGAACGTACCTATGCTCGTGGGATCGGCTGTGCAACCAAGAACCCAAATGCAAAGCAAAAGCACGAGTGCAACCGTGTTCTGTCTGTCAAATCGGTGGGCCGGTTTACAGCGCCGTGCCAGAGACAAGCTCGTCTTTCGGACCCATTGGCAAGTGGCTACTCGGCTCGTGTGACAAATAATCAAGCTAATTTTATAGGTCAATCGGTGACGTGTTAACCCACCGTAAAGGTAACTAGTTGATATAAACGTACACACGCATCCCTATTTTTTTTTTTTTTTTTTAAATCAAAAAACGCTTTTTGTTACAAAGCGAATGCT